TCTATTCTATTCTATTCTATTCTATTCTATTCTATTCTATTCTATTCCATTCCATTCCATTCCATTCCATTCCATTCTATTCTATTCTCAGAGGAAGACTCAACTCTTTCATCTGAAACATTCCCAATACTTTTTTATGGCAAAAATTAGTGGCCATAGATACTTACATCTATAAGATGCCTGACTTCATGCTTTTTGATGTCACTGCCAATTTTGGCAGCTAGTAAGACGCATGCTCCAGCACAGAGCTTTCTGTTTTGCTTGTTGAGTTTTCCCTTGAGAGCAAGCTTTTCAAAATAGACAAAGGCCATAGCCACAGTAGGCTCCTCAAAACCACACTCTTCTTGAGCTAATTTGCGCATTTCTCGCTTCAAGCTGAAAGAGGAAAGGAAGTATGTTATGTTGCCAAAGAAAACTGAAGATAGCAATGTCTGTAATTTAGAAAACTTGCCTAAATATACATAGCTGAAATATTTGTAGTATTATGTTGCACATTATTTTCAGTACATGTAATTATTCATGTCTTCTGAATTTCTGAACACTGAAATGTCCATATTTTAAATCATAGGTATTTACACAATAATATGCCTGGTATTTTCAAAGTGCTGAACAAGGCAACTTTCTAGGTAAAGAAACCAACATAGCAAGGGGCTGAATTACTAAAAAGGCTATTTGGCAAACAGAAATTTATTTTTGCTGTTCCTATTCTACCTTCCAGAATAGGGTTTTACTGGTCTCTCCGGGCTGAAGGCTACACCTAGCTTTTGGGCTGCATGCTGTGAATCTCTTTGAAAAATATGTGAGGGCCAAGGCAATGAAGTGCTCTTGTTATTCTTTCCCCTGTGCAACTGCAAAATTATAAAGAGTCTCCTAAATGTCGGGACAATTGCAAATAATAATTTGCAAATGTAAGTTACAACTGTCTTCTTTTCTCTTGATCATGTTTTTGGACTATAGTCCTGCAAATACACAATGCATCATACAAAAGACATTAAATTTATTTAAAAACAGTAAGAGAGCTTAATCAATGGATTACAAAAAAGAAGTATAGACGTGTATGTGATATATTGGAACTATTCCAATTGGTTACCTGGAACTTGGATAGCATCAATTTGCTTGTCCTAGTAATTCCTCAACTATACATAGTTAATTTCCTATAGCTGTTATTAACATCTAAATGGTGAATGGCTATTCTTTCTTGTAACCAAGTAATCAAAACTTGAAACCAGCAGTTAAATTTGAGCAGTGCTAATCAAAAATGGTAACCATTTTGAAATCTATCCAACCTATGAACTCATCCACTTCTTCCAGTGTTATTAGTTTTACAAGCACTTCTCTGTTTTCCTTTTGTTTAAAGAATTGTATCTGTACACTTAATATTTACCTAACTGTATTCCATGAATGCTTCTTTTTCAATCTATGTTAGTACTGATTGACATTATTTTTTCTATCCATGTGATTTTCTTGATAAAAATACAGACATGATTTACCACTGCTGTCCACTATGCACTATGATCTAATACCCTTGCCATCGCAATTAAAGTGATCATCTATCTCTGGCAACTTCCTAGATCAATGCTGCCCAATGTTGGTATCTAATTGCTTTAACTGGGCAGCTGAGATTATCTGCACATCTTGGTTGACCCAGCTAGGAAAATCAACACCCCACCCCAACATTCTTCACTCTTCTGAGGAACACCATCAACATGATGATGAGGCAGGGGAGGATGTGAGATGTTTTTTTAAAATGAAAAATAACAGATGGATCTGTATGTCAACAAAAAATGAAAACAAAGCAAGAAATGGATTTATTTATATCCTGACTTTATTATTTCTCTAAATAACTCAAGGCAGTGAACATATCTAATACTCCTTTCTTCTCCTATTTTCTTAAGAACTGTATGAGGTGTGGGGGGGCTGAGAGAGACATACTGGCCCACGGTCACCCAAGCCAATATCTAAAGCAGGACTAGAATTCATAGTGTCCAGCCTCTGTTACCTTAACCTCTAGAACAAACTGACTTGCTGCATTATATGTTTCCTGCAATGGGCTTTCAGAACTTTTGCATTTCTCTTTCTTCTACTCTTACCTCTTTTACCCTGCCCCTAACCTTAAAAAAGATCTCCTCCCTGAGATCTGAACTAAGCGAAGTGTTTTGAAAAGAGGCAAAGGGTCATACATTGCTGTAAGTAGCCATGGTAATCTATTTTTATACATGAGTATATAAGGAAAATATTTTTCTATAAGTTTTCCTCTGTTAGGACTTATTTACAGTGTGTGGGGGGATGGGGGATACACATATGCAATTGTGGATGTTTATAGATAAGACGTATATGTACAGTATATGAACATGTATATACGCAAATATGCAAAGTAGAAAGTCTTTGTATAATGATATAAACAACTGAAGACCATCTGTCAATTATCTTGGCTATACATGTCAAGTGAAAAGATTATTTACATCCTCACGTTTTCAAAATGAAGACTGTACAGCACAGAAAGTACTGTAAAATATTTTGGAGTAAATTGCTGACAAAAATATTCAGGATAAACATGCACAAGAAAACATGGATTTTTGTCAGACATGAAAACAAATAAACAAAAGCTGTGAATTCATGTAGAACAAGGATAGAATGAACTTAAATTTAAAAAAATGAAAAATGAACAATAAAGAAAATTAAATCTGACATATTTGTCAATCCCTAAGCAGTTATTAATAAAATGTAATTAGTATAAATTTTTCCATCAACTGATCCTGTTAATGAATCTCAATTTTTTGACTGTCCCTAAACTATCCAATAGGATTTTTTTTATTTTGTTGGCTGCCTCCCTTAAGTCTTTCCTGTCAGTATTTATGTTTAATTATTAAAACATTGCAAGTCAATAATACATACTTAGGCCCATGTGCTTCCTATCTTATTTATTCAACATCCTGACTAGAAAGCAGCTGATTGTTTAGTGTCCTTAAAGGTCATTTTTCAGAAAATCTACTGTTAATGTTTTACTTCCCTATACTAAATATATCAAAGGGTAGTTAGTTGCCTGGGGTTAGTACCTTCTTATTTTACTGAGTGTCAACTTGATGTGAGGAAACTTCTCCTTGAAGGTCTCATTCATATCTTTCTTAAGATCCGATGGCTTCACATAATCAATGACTGTAGTCTGTAATGTATTACAAACAAGATTTAATATCCATTTGGGATGAGAATCTTTGCCTCTCCCTTTTCCTCTTTCTTTCAAAAATTACCATGGTAATTATTTTCTAATGCTTATCTGTTTCATCAAAGAACAATAAAATAGTTTGTAGTATTTTAAAAACAATATAGATATCATTGCATAGGCTTTCATAAGCTCAAGATTTCTTTATCAATATCCACAAAGAGTCTAAATGTGGATGGATCATGCATGGACACACACATACACACATAAACACATTACTAATTATTTTCACAATTGGCTGGACCAAAAAGCAAAGGACAGCAATAGGTTTGCATGTAGGCTACTCTGAATTTTATTGATGGAAACAATTCTTCAGAAAGACATGCCAAACAAAATTTTGCAGAACCTCTAAGCATAATCTTTGAAAAATCTTTCAGGACCAGCTCCTTGCCTAACCTATGGTCACAAGCCACGGTCATCCCCATCTTCAAAAAGGGAGACCCCAGCCTAGTTGAAAATTACAGAACAATCTCCTTATGCTGCATCACCTGTAAAGTCATAGAATCAATTATTAACCAATCCGTTATCCTCCACTTAGAGACAAACAACCTACACTCTAAGAAACGATTTGGTTTCTGAAAAAAAAACTATCCTGTAATCTGCAATTCTTACACTGCAAAAACATATGGACTACACAACTTGATCAGGGCAAAACAATAGACGCAGTCTACATAGACTTCTGTAAAGCCTTTGATTCAGTGGTACATGACAAACTACTCCTAAAAATAAAATCTTATGGTATCTCTGGACACTGCATAACTGGATAGAAGCATTCCTGTCAAACAGACAACAAATGGTCAAAATTGAGAGTGTCCTATCGAATTCTGTACCTGTCAACAGTGGTGTCCCCCAAGGCTGTGTTCTAGGACCAACTCTCTTCATACTCTACATTAATGACCTCTGTGATCATATTAAGAGCAACTGTGTTCTCTTTGCTGATGATGTAAAGCTATTCAGCACCACAGACAATACTACTACCCTCCAAAAAGACCTTGGCTATGTATCAGAATGGTCAATCAAATGGCAACTTCAAATCTCAACAAATAAATGCTCTGTCTTACATATTGGCAAAAAAAATCAGAAAATAAAATACAAGCTAAATAGTCAAGACCTTGTTGAGGATCCAAACTTTGTCAAAGACCTTGGAGTACTCATCTCAAATTATCTAAGTGCTAGAGCCCACTGTAACTATATAGCCAAAAAGGCATTCAGAGTTGTGAACCTAATCCTACGTAGCTTTTTCTCTGGTAATATCGCACTACTAACTAGAGCATACAAAGCATTTGCTAGACCAATACTCGAATACAGCTCATCAGTCTGGAACCCACATTACGTATCTGATATTAGCACAGTTGAGAAAGTCCAGAAATATTTCACAAGAAGAGTTCTCCACTCCTCTACTTGTTGTAGAATACCTTATGCCACCAGACTTGAAATTCTAGACCTAGAAATCCTTGAATTACGCCGTCTTTGGTCTGATCTAAGTATGGTATATAAAATCATACATTGCAATGACTTACCTGTCAATGAATACTTCAGCTTCAACCATAACAATACAAGAGCACATAATAGATACAAATTCAAGGTTAACTACACCAAACTTGATTGCAGGAAATACGACTTCAGCAAGAATGGTCAATGTCTGGAATACTCTACCTGACTCTGTGGTTTCTTCCGCAAACCCCAATAACTTACTTTAACCTTAGACTGTCTACTATTGGCCTCACCCCTTTCCTAAGAGGTCTGTAGGGGGCGTGCATAAGCGCACCAACGTGCCTACTGTTCCTGTCCTATTGTTTCTTTTATTTTTCTTATATGTACCCATTTCATGTATTCATAACTATGTATATACTTATACTTATTATTTTGTAAGCGATTGACAAATCAAAATAAATTAATAAATAAAATAAATGAGTTGCTCGAGCCAGTCTGGAAGCTGACTACTTAAGAGTAGCCACAATGCACTTTGAATATAAAAGTTATTCATGTACACTCGACATTGAGTGGCTAAATGCCCTACAGAAGTATCATGTAGTTGAGGATTTATGGGATCTAGTTCATAGTTATGGTTTAAATATTTGGACAGATGCCCATAGAGATCAGGCCTATTACTTGATGCTTACCAATCTCAGCTCATAAGATCTAGTAGGAAGTACGGTGGCCAGTAAGTTAAAAGTATATGTTTAGGAACCTAATTACTCAGACTAGAGGTAAGCAACCTTGTAGATAGAGAAGCCATATTTTTTTTAATATGAGATTCCTCAAAGAATCTCAAGGAGTATAATCAATAATACTTTGTTGTTATGAAAGTGGCATGGATTCTTGGGAGAAGAGAAAGTTTAGTATAAAACAGATACATTAAACCTAACAGAGGTTTCACAAAACTATTTTAATTTTTATTTTCAGGGGGAAAAAACCTCACAACTGTGCCATTGAAAAGGGGTTTTCTGGTACATTTTGATAGCATGATCTTGGATAGTTTAGAGAAACCTTTTACCCCAGAAGGAACTCATTTAATAATTTTTAAGACTCAGTGAGTTCCTAAATAAAAATAACAATATAAAAGTTCACACACAATTTATATCTAACCTACACAATTCAGGTTTTACAACATTTATCAGAACAATCAAATGGCAGGCTACAGCAGTCATGGTGCATAAAACCTCATAACATTGAAAGTGTTACTGCATGGTGCAGGAAATCTGTCTATCTCACAATTTTTAGATAGCCTAGTTTAAGAAGTTGACAATTTGGAGCTTGGTATGTTGCATATGAACTACAAACCATGGATTGCTAACCTCTCATCTAAATCCATTTCTAAATCTATCAATTCAACCCTAATTACAGTTTTAAATACTAGAAGATATGTATAATATTTATTGCTGTTCTGTTACAAGTCCTATTCCATCATACAGAAGTACCTTATTTATCTACTACTACTACATAAATACAAATAAGATAGATTCACAGTAGTAATGAATTTGAGAGATTTGTTTTTAATCTTCAAAATATTAATGAGTACATTTAAGCTAGCTTGCTAGAAGATTCCACGAACTAAATTCTATGTGCTAGAAAGTATTCCTGCCTATGTAGGCTTTTTAAGCTATAAATTTCACAGCGTACATATACTTTGTATTGTTTTGCTGTTGAATTATTAAGTAAATCAATTAGGTCTGTATTTGTAATGAAAGTGCCAAGAAACTCACATAATTTTGGTAATATTACAGCCAGTGGTTGCATTGGTTAAAAATACAGGCTATTTGTTTATAATGGTTCAAAGTTATAATGTTGAATGAAGGAACTTACAATTCATGACAGAAGTTATGGCTATGGCAGCACTCTTGCAGTCATGTAATCAAAATTCAGGTGTTTGGCAGTTAACTTGCACTTATGACTGCAGGAATGTTGCAATTTCCCCACTCACCAATCCCCCCTCCCCTCCCCTATGCCCTTCTGACCAAGCGCTGTGGCTGCCAAGTGCCACTGTGCATGGTAGTCTAAAGATAGCAGTTCTGGGGTGAGAGGCAGGTGGGGAGAGTTGCAGCACCCCTGCAGTCAATTTGAAAAATAATGGAAGTTACTACATCTTTGATTATTGCCTGTATGTTATTGGAGAAAAGAGTAAAACAGAGTTGCCAGAGATTCTTTATGAAGTTCTGAAGTGTATAAAACTTCTCAGAATACAGCTGTAAATTTTGTTAATCTTTAAAATATAGAGGCCAAGAAAATACCAAATGACCTGTCCAGTTTTTCATCCATAAACTGTGTTGAATGTGGCAGACTATTTACTTTTGAAGACATGAAATATGTTGTTAGTACTTAAATGTAGAACAGCTGGCATGAGTCCATTGGAACTGGTAGTTATTTATCCTGGCAGACATTCAACTGTTCAGCCAGACACAGCAAGCAGACTAATCCCCTTCAGTGGAATGGACAACTAAATATGGGGTGCTCCCCTGCAGCACAAGTTAAGTCCTTTTGAATTTCTGCTATAACTCACTATTGAGACAAGTCACCATGGAGAATTTCTTGACTATGAAAGCAATTCTAAATAACTCCTGAGGTTTTCCAGTAACTATCAAATTTGGAAACAACCTGAAGCAAAAGCAAATGCTGGAAATATCTCCCTATACGATTTTTTTTTCAATAATTTCCAAGCTGGAAAAAGATGAAACATTTGCAAATTGTAATATAAACAAGCATCATATATTGTAAGTTATGTGCAGAAATTTCTGGATCTGCACAGCTATTTCTTATTTTCCACATTAATCCACATCAAAGCATTCAGACATGCTATGGTGCAAGAAATTTGGCTGCAGACACTACCTTTATTTTTAGGTAAACCTGAAATAAAGTGATGCTACTTTAAAAGCTGCATTACATAAAAGCTGGGATTCTTTAGAGTGGTGACTTCTTTTTTCAAGCTTATGTGACATCTAAAATGGTCAATGGATGGTTCAGTGACACTGTCCTTGCATGAAGTCTGAAATGCAATGTATTATTTTTTAAAACATCACTTCCTCCCAAGCAGAAGCCTTTCAGGACTGTTTGCCTGGATGAGTTCTTGGGTACCTCATCATCTCAAATGCTATTGCCTAGTGTAATGCCAGGTAAAGCTACTTCAGGTGAAATCCAATGCTGTACATAGTCATTTATTGATACACTTTCTATTTTCTTCTTCCTTCTGCAGAAACCTGAAGAAATGTCCTTCCTCAACATTTGTCCTTCCTCAACATCCTTATCCTACAACAGTAGATTTAGAAACAGGGAAGGATGGAACTTCAGGAGGTAACATAAATTACAGTATATTTTTCCACATGTATCTGACAAAGTTATTTTGCAATAGAATGGGTGGAATGGACTACCCTGGAATATAACCTTTTGCCAGACTGTAAACAGATGTATTTCTCAGTGCACAGGCTGGCAAATACATAGCCCTGCCAAAAAAATCTGTTTTTAACCTAGACAGATTGGGTTAGCTAGCCGCAACTACAATCTATTTCCCTGCCCCTCAAACCACACATGTAGAGATTCATATTCCTTGAGAAACAAGTAGCGGACAAGGAAAACACAGTTTGCATTTGTCCTTTCCCTTTTAAACCACTGTCATCCCAGAGTACTATATTCTTAGTATGACTAGTGGAAATACTTTATGTAAATTCCCTTCCAAAGCATGATCCATAAACTTATGCAGTGCCATCAAGGCACATTGCTTTGAATAAATCCAAATGCCTCAAATTTTATAATTTTGTGGGGTTTTTTTGCCAATTTCTCAGTCCTATCTTTATTAATTATGTCCCTAGACTACCAACACAATTCTACTCTCAGACTGAAACAAAAACAACAAAAACAAGAGTGAAAGATTGGGATGTCTGAATACACTGTACAAAAGCTAGTTTACACCACTATTCCAGACCATTTTGTATATTCTACTTTGACCCATCCCATGCATGTATGTATGTGTGTGTGTGTGTCTGTCTTCACCCATGAGAGGGAACAAGTTTACAAGACTGCAGCTGCCAAGCTGTAGTGACATAAGCCTGCCAACAAATGACTGCTTAATTACAAACCAGATTTCAGCACGCAGAGGACAAACTGTTCCATGCTGACACAAGGGCCACTCTCAGTTCGGCACCCTTGCAAAATGTAGCAATTAAAATAACTGCATTCTCTTCAATGTTGCAGATTTTTTTTTTGTTATACAGTGAGCAGAATCCAATGTCATACAAGTGGAAATCTTGTGCAAGCTATTTTTTCTTTTCTCCTCATCCCTGCAGTTTTCTTCCACACATACATCCTCAAAGTCTGCTCCTGATGGCTGAGGACTAGAAAGCCAAACAATTTAAGTTAGTTTTATAACTAACTGCTTATACAAAGAGATCTATACATAATGCATTTGAGAGTAGCTACACTGGGAGGATTCATTATCACAATTTTATTTATTTATTTGGTTTGTCAATTGCTTACAAGATAATAGGTGTAAGTAAAAACATAGTCATGAATACATGGATAAATATAAGAAAAATAAAAGAAACAATAGGACAGGGACAGTAGGCACATTGGTGTGCTTATGTAGGGGGCTACAGACCTCTTAGGAAAGGGGTGAGGTTAATAGTAGACAGTCTAAGGTTAAAGGTTTTGGGGGTTTGGGGAAGAAACCACAGAGTCAGGTAGAGTATTCCAGACATTGACCACTCTGTTGCTGAAGTCGTATTTCCTGAAATCAAGTTTGGTGCGATTAATCTTGACTTTGTATCTATTGTTTGCTCTTGTATTGTTATAGTTGAAGTTGAAGTATTCATTGACAGGTAAGTCATTGCAATGTATGATTTTATATACCATACTTAGATTGGACCTAAGGCGGCATAGTTCTAGCTTTTCTAGATCTAGAATTTCAAGTCTGGTGGCATAAGGTATTCTGCAACAAGTAGAGGAGTGGAGAACTCTTCTTGTGAAATATTTCTGGACTTTCTCAACTGTGTTAATATCAGATACATAATGTGGGTTCCAGACTGATGAGCTGTATTAGAGTATTGGTTTAGCAAATGTTTTATAAGCTCTAGTTAGTAGTGTAATATTACCAGAGAAAAAGCTACGTAAGATTAGGTTTTAACAACTCTTAATGCCTTTTTGGCTATGTAGTTACAGTGGGCTCTAGCACTTAGATCATGAGAGATGAGTACTCCAAGGTCCTTGACAGAGTTTGGATCATCAACAATGTCTTGAGTATTCAGCTTGTATTTTATTTTCTGAGTTTTTTGCCAATACGTAAGAGAGAGCATTTGTTTGTTGAGATTTCAAGTTACCATTTGTTTGACCATTCTGACACTTGTAATTGTACAGTATGATTTGCTGGAATATCACATGGACCAGCTCTCAATATCAGCATTATTGATTGTATTTTCTTTTAAGGAAGGATGAATTATAACTCTTGGCAGCAGCAGAATTTTCTGAAATCTAAATGGAAGTTGAAACAATCCCTTTGATGAAATATTACAAGATGCCGATAAACAGAACAGCACTATCTCAAGAGTAATAGAAATATAGGAAAACAGGAGCTATTCCATGAAAAATGTATTAAGGCACCCTTGATGTTGCTGAAGCATGAAGAAAAATCAAGAAGTATTTCACTGTTTTCTTTCACTGTGCGTACAGTTCTACGAGTTCTATTCTAATTTCAATACAATAATGACATAATAGTAATCAAGCCATATTAAAAATCAGAATTATAACTGACTATTATAACTGAAATGTAACTATCTATCATGTTACTGAGTATTATACTCACCATATAGGAAGGAAATATCAGCACCCGCTTGTGTTTTCCGCATGGCCACTGAGGATCATCTAGAAGGTTAGGGTTGTATTCAGTGTAATCACCCAAGTCACTGCCTATGAAGAATATTAATAAAAGAAGCAACTGCATGAGACCTAAAGCAACAGCAGTCAAATGGTTAATCAAATTATATAATATTGTCTGCCTTCATTTTTTTATCTGAAATATGTATTTAAAACTAAATCAGGTGAGCCAGGTTATAAAGCTGATATAGTTTCAAATGACAATTTAGGAAAGAGCTGAAGTAGATTGATGGATAAATAGGTACTAGAAATGTAAGAATCACATGATGTACATCAGAAAAGGAAGTCAGCTTCCTAAATGATAAACTGAATTTTATATCAGCTCTATTATTAGATCAAGGTAGAGGCTAACAAAACTATAATATTTTTTCACATCATGTTTGTAGAAAATGAACTTACTGGAGACTGAATAATGTCAGTGAAAGGTTTGATCTACAAATAGCTATGTATCGCATTGAGTGAGCATCTACAATGAGAAAATTTGCTTAGTCACAAAATGCCTTAGCTTTTGGCTATATGCTAAAGCAAGGCATCCCATCAATATCAACAGCTCTTGCAAAATTCATGGATGATATTATTATTTGATTTCATACTATAACAGAGGAAAAGCACAATGCAGCAGATTTGTAGAATGTGTCCAATGTTAGCTTTGTCACATCGTTGCATAAATAGCCAGTTAGATCATGTGTGCATGTGCTATTAATAGGCTACCTGTATCAATGCTCCCTTGGGTGCTATTAGTTCTTCCCAATGAAAGGCTACGATGGCTTGCATTACGAAATTGTGAAAAGGATGAGGTCGAGTCTATCGTGTTTCTCCGTACCCCCAAGGCATTGGTTGGAAAGAGAAACTGGGTATAGGAAACAGTCTAATCAAGAAGAAAAGAAAAAAATATTCAAGTTGAGGCAACCATCATAGATAATGAACTGGAAGCTATTCATAGAAAAATACTATTTCACAATTCAACTTGACTAAGGTATATTGGTAGTTAGCGGTAAATTCCATTAAATGTATTGAAGCTTACTCTCTGGAAGGAGATGAATGATTTTGGCATAAACTTACAAATGAACGGAATAATCTAATGTTATTTAGTAATAGCCACTCATTTCCCCAAAGATAGTAATTGTAGTTTATGATTTCAGAGACTATATTTTGAAGAATGAGTACCCATACCTTTCCATTAGCTCCTAATTCCACACCTTCAAGGCCAACTATATCTTTCAAGCAAACACCTGCTGTAGAATGACACTGTCTTCCACCTTCGGTTTTCATATCTCTGTGAAATAAAATCAGTGATGCATATCGTTTTTAGAATTATGTGGAAATGCTGAATTTAAAAAAAGATTCTGTTTGTTACTTCTATAGTTTTGTATAAGACAAAAATGTGGAAGATAAAGAATGCAATCACATATCTTCAATTTCATGTAAAATTTCAATCAAGGTCAGGAAAGGGTTGGAAGAAATACAGAATCTGTTAATCCACAACTTGCCACTCATAACATCTGTTACCCTCAGATGGCAACATGAAGTTACAAACAAACAAACAGATAAAACCACTTGCAGCTCTTTGCTACTATATCTTGATTATCTTGGTTTTTGCAAACCAGGTATAGTAATATTAGTGAATTAAACAGATTACATTTTGTAATTGCAAGTTATAGATTAAGATGCAAAAAAAAAGCAACGATTCAGTAAAATATCTACATATTTTCAATATTTGTATTAAGTGTCTTACTACATACTTAAAAATAGAAAACGATTTTTACAGTAAAAATGAAAAAAAAAACTTTTACAAAACCCAAGAAATCCTGTTACAAATCAATACTATAACCATGAACTCTTCTAAAAGTTGTTATGAATTTAGCAACTGTACTGTGTGGATGTAGTTCTACTCACAAATATTTTCCATTTAGTTGAAGGAATATTATCCTCTATTGGAATAAATGGGGATATCTATGCATGGACATCTACAAAGGGCAAGGAAACAAATAACTAGAAAGCCAACTCTACCCCTTACATTCATGCAACACTGTGATGCGAGTATGAAAGAACAGAGCTTGTGCTGTGACATCAAAGCACATGGTCATTCTACTATATTATTGCTGGCTGATGACACCTATGTATCTATGGCCAAAGGAGCATATATTGATTGGGTTCACCAATCAGGCTAAACCATAGTGTGAATTATTTTATTTTGCTTTGTGCTCTGTGCCAATCCAGTTAAATGCCAAGACTCATTTGCTATGTGATAGGCAGCAAAAAAAATCAATATATTTAATAAGGTTAAAAAACATGATTTACTGTTTTGTATATGTAAAGGCAGCTTACTGATAAAGCAAACTTCCCCTTATCATAAATCAATCCCTGATTGATCCCATGATTAAAACAACTTAATTTCTTTTTAAGTTTTAAGGCAGGGGGTGGTGGTTAATTAAGACCTCCTTAACCTTAGTTTTGTGTTACGAAACAGCTTTATTAGGTATCTGACATAGAGGAGTTCTTAGCTATGCCCATGGATAGATGCTTCACTTGAAAATCATATTCTACATGTTCTACTGTCATCAGATTTTATGGTATACTTGAAAAATATATCTCAATCTAATCCATTTTATCATTAATGGGATAAAATTATTGCTGGCAATGATTGCTGGAGGAAAAACCACACGCAAGAGAACAGTAAATACTTCTTTTCACTTTCTAATAAAAAAGTCCCCCTTCTGAAATTATTTCATACCTCATTCATTTCATTTGACTAAAATGCCACATGTTTTGTCCTTAGTCCCTAAATTTATTTTAGGAAACCATAGTGTTACTTTCATGTCTCTTAGTTGAATATATAGTTTACTTTATATCAGATTTCCCCTGCCCCTTTTATTTCATTTAGGAAAAGCTTAGAAACAATAATTTATGCTATAAACAAACATTATTTGGCATTCATTGTAGGAATTCTATATAACATTAACATTAAAACAACCATATACTTGAAACCATGTGAAATGTCTCATAACTGTACTTATTGCACAAAAATGCTGCCCTGAAAGCTCAAAAGGGTAACCAAGTAAATATTTGTAAATACAACAGAAGGAAATCACAAGATAGTAACAACTTATCTGGAAGAAGTTAAGAATTTATTATCATTTATTTATTTATTTATTTATTCCCCAGGCATATAGTATTTTCTGAAATGTGACTTCTTAAAGAAAAATTCATTATGTGGAAAATGCATAAACTATCTTGTTTCTAATAGAATACCTGGTGCTTAGATTGCTGGATATTAATGTTTCTCTTAATTTTATATCATTTGAACTCGACAACTGCATCACATTTATTTCCATTCTGACTAAAACATAAGTTATGTTAAAGTGTCCATTTTGCTTTCTTTTTTAAAATTTTAATTGTGAAACAGTGATACAAATTTGTATTTATAACTTTTATTGCATTAGATGAAACATGCTTACAACAGGAATAACGTATCAGAACGTTGTTAAATATGCTTTAATAAACATTGCTGAGTCAAAAGTCAAGGCCTGGTTCATCATTCTAACAGTCCTCTCATTGCCAATATTTTTAGAGTTCCTGAAATTCTTTAGTTTGTTTTGTTTTCATCAAGCTTCTTTTTCATAATATGAACTCAGATTATCAGCGATCTAATTACAAACAACACCACAACATCAAACAGGCAGTCAGAATTATTACCAAGATAATATTAGGGCAATTCATCATAAAGGAATGTTTCCTATAAGATATTGTATGATGTGGTCTTCTGTCTTGATGACTAGTAATAGAGAAGGGTTGAAGAGTAAACTGGAGAAGGAATAGCAGTGATGGCTAAAAAATGCAATGTAAGTGCAAAGTAATAAAATAGTTCAAATATGTGTTTTATTTCATCACCTAGATACAGGGTTGGAAAATCAGGTGCATTTTTTTCAGTTCAACCTTTCAATTTATCTCTTTACTTATGCAAGAAAGTTCATGTTTATAAATATGCTATTTCTCTTATACACAGTGGTACTTTGGTACTCATTGTTAATTGGTTCTGGTAAGGGCAATGAGTAATAAAAACGAGTGCCAAAAAAACCAAGTGACTTTTGGCCAGGAAGGACTTCCTACATCCCAGCATGGCTGGCTTCCTGTCCATCCCCCATGGCCGTCCCCCTTTTTCTACCTCAGCATGTCAAATATCAAACAAATACCAGAATAACATTTTCATGTCAAAATACATAGGGTACCAAATTCAAAAAGTTTTTGAAGCAGTCAAGTACGAGGTACCACTGTACTAATGAAAGTTAAATTCAACCTCATATTTTTCATGGGTTGTGTGATTTCAAAGTATTATTTTTAAGATAACAATAACCAATAAGGTTCTAGGTTAAAGAGAAGCACATCAGTGTGATGTGAAAAAAACACTGTTTTAAAAAACATAGATTAGCACTGAGAGTGAACCAGCCCATGTTAAAAAACAAACCAGTATTTTTGTGTTCCCCTTCTCTTTTTCTCCCATGTACATGGATATAGCATTACACGAAAGCTATCCTTGCACAGAATGGGACAATTCGCTATGACAAACTCCCCATGGCCAACTCGCCACAGCCAACTCACTGTGGGGCAACTTGGCACAGGACAATTCAACAAATACAAACATTACATTCATTTCAAGAGTACCATGGTCAATAGTAATATAATAAAAAAGTCAATCCATAAATACAAGAGTTACAATTTCAACAAAAATGTGGCTACCATAAGTAAAGGTAATTGAATGAAACAATTAATAAAGCATTGCTGTCCTGTGGTGAGTTGGCCATGATGAGTTGGCCACATAAACATAATGTAAACAATGTTGTAAATTGCAATCACATGACCACAGGATGCTGCAAACAGCTATAAGTGTGAATCAGTTGCCGAGCGCCTAAAATGTGATTACATGACAGTGGGGAGATGGTCGTTGGAAGCTTGAATCTGGGTTATTACTGTTTGAAGCCCTGACAAAATCTGTGGTAATTTCAACAGTTGCTAAACGACCAGTCTTAAGCTGAGGACTGCCTGTATAACTACATCATTATGTCCTTTCCTGTTCCAGGATGGAGAAACGTCATTGTTCTAACACTAGTAATAGCTTTGAGAGATTATTATCACTAATGATCAATCTTCTAAAGCAAAGATATCTTAATTTAGCCCTCTAAAATCTTCAGTCCAAATAATTACTAGCTTCCACTTTCTTTCCTGGTTAATAGCTTTTTCACTGTAACAATTAGCAATTAAATGCAAAGAAGCAGTTAACATAATTTACAATTTGACTGGAAGATGATTTGCCATCAGAATAACTTCCCTTTTAGTATGCATCATACAAGTACCCAGTTCCTGTACCTTTAACTGTACCTATTTTACTTATCGATGAATGTTTTTTATTTGATTTGTTAAACTTATTTGCTGCCCATCTCATTTTGAAGCAATTCTGCGCAGCTAACAGCAGTAAAAGCATTAAAATAATAAAGGATAAATATTTATAAAATAATAAAAATGGAAATTACAATGAAAAATAGAATTATAGTTAAAAGATGGGGAAGAAGCAAGATGTGTGGGGGTTGGGTGGGATTGCCTCTCAAGTCATCAACCACCTCTAATGTGAAGTTCCCCCATGGGGTCTCCAAACCATCTAGCAGAGCCAGGTGTTCAGGCCCTTATGGAAGATCAGAAGGGTGGGAGCTGATCTTACCTCAGAGGGTAAGTTGTTCCAAAGGGCAGGAGCCATGGCAGAGATGACCCTTCTCCTTGACCCCACAAACTGGAATTCCTTCAGTGATGGGGCCCACAGCATGCTTCCTCTGCTGGTGTGGGTGGGGCAGGCCAGTCCCAGTGCGGTGAGACTGTTGATGTCCCCTTTTCCACAGCATATACATGATATATGCTGACTCAGCACAGAACCAGCTGCGCTTTTCAGCAACTGTATCAACGTTCACATAACAGCCATTCATGTGACACAGTACTGATTAGACTTAATATCTCATTTTTAATCTACCTCATTTTATAAAAAAAGAGAGCAATTATTGTCAAATTGCAGTGCTAACTAATTTACCTTCAAAATCCTTAGAAAACAGAGGCTATGACTGAATTTCTTGTTAATCTCTATTCATCCTATGTGGTACAACATATTTAGTTTTAGAAGAAGAATAAATTAGAAATGCCTGAAAAACACATGTTTTACTTTTACATGTTTATTAAAGTATGCTTAATATAGAGAATACTTTTACACTGCAATATAACCCCCTGTTGGATTGTTGTTCTTAATGTTCTTCTACTGAAGAGTAAGAAGAGAACCTGTTACAAAATCAATTCACTTCTAATCTTACCACATCACTATTTCTTGTTTGATTACAATGGCTGCCTTTCTAAGGAGACAAATTCCAAATGTTGCTAAGTGTAGAATAGAAAATAGAATAGCATAGCATAACATAGAATAGAGTAACAGAGTTGGAAGGGACTTTGGAGATCTTCTAGTCCAACCCCCTACTTAGGCAGGAAACCCGACACCACTTTAGACAAATGGTTATCCAATCTCTTCTTTAAAACTTTCAGTGTTGGCGCATTTACAACTTCTGGAAACAAGTTGTTCTACTGATAAATTGTTCTAACCGTCAGGAAATTTTTCTTTAGTTCTAAGTTGCTTCTCTCCTTGATTAGTTTCCACCCATTGCTTCTTGTCCTGCCCTCAAGTGCTTTGCAGAATAGATTGATTCCCTCTTCTTTGTGGCAAACCCCTGAGATATTGGAACACTGCTATGTCATTCCAAGTCCTTCCTTTCATTAAACTAGACATACCCATTTCCAGCAACCATTCTTTTTATGTTTTAGCCTCCAGTCCCCTAATCATCTTTGTTTCTCTTCTCTGCACTCTTACATCTTTTTTACATCATGGCGACCAAAACTGGATGCAGTATTCTAAGTGTGGCCTTACCAAGACACTATAAAGTGGTATTAACACTTCACGTGATCTTGATTCTATCCCTCTGTTTATACAGCCTAGAATTCTGTTGGCTTTTTTGGCAGCTGCAGCACATTGCTGGCTCATATTTAAATGATTGTCCACTCCAAGATCCCCTTCACAGTTACTGCTATTGAGCAAGGTACCACATATACTATAACTGTGCATTTTGTTTTTCTTGTCTAAATGTAGAACCTTACTTTTTTCACCACTGAATTTTATTTTGTTAGATAGTGCCCAATGTTCAAGTCTGTCAAGATCCTTCTGTATCTTAAGCCTATCTTCTGAAGTGTTCGCTAGTCCTGCTAGCTTGTTGTCCTCTGCAAATTTGTTGAGTTCCCCATCTATCTCCTTCTCCAAATCATTGATGAAGAGATTGAAGAGTACTGGATCTAAAACAGAGCCTTGGAGTACCCCACTGCATACTTCCCTCCATGTAGATGCAGTTCCATTGAAGACTATACGTTGAAGTATGGTTGGTCAGCCAGTTACGCATCCATCTGGTGGTGATAATGTCTAACCCACATTTTTCTATTTTTATCAAGTAGTAGGTTATAGTCCACTTTATCAAATGCCTTACTGAAGTCCAAGTAAATTATATCGACAGCATTCTTCTGGTCCACTAATTTTGTCACTTTGTCAAAGAATGAAATAAGATTAGTCTGGCATGATCTTTTTTTAACAAACCCATGTTTGGCTTTTGGTTATTACTTCATTTGCTTCTATGTATTTGCTGATTCATTGCTTGATTATCTTTTCCAGAATCTTCCCTGGTATTGATTATAATTATAAATTATAAGATGTAAGTAATTATATCTATAGATGTTTTTTTTTTCCACCAAAAAAAACTTTATATATTTATTCAAATTTATAGGCTGCCTGACTCACAAATGACTCTCGGTGTCTTACAACTAAAAACCAACTAATTAAAAAAATACAACTAGAAGACCAAAGACAAAGAATCAAACCCATAAAACCAAACCAAACCAAACCGGAGTTCCACAAGGCCTGGAAGAACAAGCAGGTCTTCAACAATTTTCAGCTGGGCAGAGATTATAATTAAGTTAAGGGTATCCTTTTCCTGTAATGACAGCTGTGGCATCCATATTGCAAGTCACACTTAATGTATGCTCAGAAAAAAAACTATGAAAAAGTATACATACCCAACATGGCTACAATCCCGATACGGCAGCACTGAAAATATGCTACAGAAGGATCTTCTGCCACTAATAAGGACTATTCTAGAAGGCAAACAAGATAAAGGATATGATCTAGAGTAGAATATCCAGCAATGGAGAATGGTCTCATAAATCTACTTCTCATTCTTTTCTTTCATGTTACTTTGCTATTCCTGTCTTTGCTCTATGTACTCTATATGCCATTCATTCCTTTCCCCACAGCAACATCCCTGTGAGGTAGGTTAGCCGTAGGGATAGCTCAAATCATCAACTAGGCTTCTATGGCTGGGGATTACCATGAACCTGGCCCTTACAGGATCTGATACAACACTTTGACTCCTGCATGATCACAATGCCTGTCTATTATTTTGCTGTGGGCAAAGAATTTTCAAATGTCAAAATCCAACTTTTTCTGCTCATTTAAATAACATCAGATGCAAGTCCAGGCATTATGAATTTGTAAAACAAAGGGACAGCTCATCAACCCCTTTTGGAAGGGGCAGCCAGTCTTTTGAAAAGAGTGTGGCATTAATCATATCATTAATGGGGGAAAGGGAGGTCTATTATCTGTATTTCAAACAAGCACAACTGCAGAACAGAATACTGAAAACATTATTAGTATGAGCTTTAAAAATGCTGTGTCTAAGAAACAATGAAAGTACAGACTGGGCAGGAGGTAAGAAAGATAAGAAAGTAAGGACCTGGCCCTGGGTCAGGTCTCCATAAATCTTTCAGCAAAACCACTTGCCATATTTTTGTCTCTTTCATTATGTTTAAATATCTGACAAAGTAATCCACAGGAAGCTACTAATGAGACAGCTGATTCTTTTTTTTTTAAAGCAGAATGCTGTGCTAGAGATGTTTGAGAAATAAATGATTCTTTCTGCCCATGTTCATAAAGATAACAATAGGTAAATCCTGCTGAGCAGATGACAGTACAGACACTTTACAGCTAACCAAATCTAACATCAAACATTTGGCTTCACTATTTTTGTTTTCATTCAAAAAATAAAAGCATTGTAATTTAAAAGAGGCATTAAACTTACAACAATATCTAATATTCAAAGCCTTTTCAAACTATGCAATGAAATATCAAAGTATGTAATGAAATTATGCAAAGTTTCTAATTGAGAACACAGGTGGCACTGTAGTAAATTACTACGCAGAATGACTGCTATGTTAGATGCTAATCTTTTAGGAATGTTCGTTTAATCCATAGGACTTCAACTTCATGAAGCATTAAAACTGAACTCTCATTCACCCTTTAGTTAACTTGGTATTTATTACTCTGTACTGCTGATCATGAACTACATATTTTAATTGCAAGAAGAATGGAAAAAAAACATAAAGCAAAATGTAAGGACAGCAATTAAGAGACTGGTCATAATAGTTTTTAATTAAGGTATTCATGACTATGATAATCGCATCTGGACTGCAAAAACCTGTTCAGTGTTTAGATGACAGTAAAAAATAAGAATCTCTCTGCTACCTACTGTTTCTAGTTTTTTTAATGGTACTATGCTTACTCATAATAAAGTTCAATATCTAACTGAAGTTAACAAAAGAAATCCAAATCCACTAGCTTTACTTATTAGAAGCAGTTGACCACAGGAAAGGATTTTAAAGAATCTTCATCTAAAGCTCTTTAAAGGGACACATACAGTAGAAACACCACTGTGAATGTGGTAGAAATCAAAAAGACCAAGTACTAGGGAAGGAAGAAACCCTGACAATTAAAACCAACCATGCTGGACTAGATAGGAAAAGAATTTTTCTTTGTAGAAACCAGCCTGGCTTGTTATTATATAACAAATGCTATAATCTCATCGTGAAGTAATGCTTCTACAGACCTTCAGTTATTACTCACGTACAGAAGTTTATCCTGCTGTTTTCAAACTGCCAATAGAACAAATAAAATAAGGAGGCAGATTCCATAAACACAATTTCTTATTTCTAAGGATTTGGAAGTCACTGCTGATTGTTAGGGGCTAAAAATAAATATTCAGATATTTTAGCACTGGAGTAAAGACCTTTCTCTCTTGCATGCCCAGCATCCATTTGTACACTATCAAATAAGTTAGGTGGTCATTTATCCTACCAATTTCACAACATTAAGCACAAAATAAGAGACACACATTCTTTACACAATTACTCCAGGCACAATGCACTCAGGCTCATTTCATTTCTATACTTAAAAGATTATAGTCTTCAATTCCAATAAGCTGATATTGCACCGTCACTGAAATCTAACACTAAACTTCAAGACAACTGCTGACTATTCCCTATGGCATTGAAGAGTCCCATTGCTATATTTCCTGGTTCAACTGTAACAATATAGGATTTTATTACTTCTGTTTTTTATTATGTTGTAAAGCACACAATCTTAACCAAGTGTTATGAGAATAATGATGCCTATCATCTTTCACTCCCGTAAATATCTCGTATAAGCTAGATGCCTAGGGCTATCAAAATAGTAAGCTTGATTTCATGCAAAGATTTAATCTTCATATTACTATGAATCAAGCTTGCTCATGTTCAGAAGAGATTAGCCCAGCTACAACCGTCAGTAAATAAATTATATTGATAAAAATTAACTAGCATTTATAGTTGGTGAAACGGAATGAAGAGACCTAAGTATCTGTTGTAGATACTTGCCGCAAATAAAACTTTCCAGCTCATTTGTTCAATGGATGGAATACAGAAGATTTTAAACCATTACCTCTCAGGTTAGTATTCTGCAGTTGTATTGGGTTAGAGTTCCTCAAATTCCCAACCAACACAGGAGTGGCTATGATGGTTGGAAATGTTATATTTTGTGTTTCAATACATCGGGATAGACAGGCAGATAAAATGTATATTGTTTATAATTTCGATTTCTATAAGTCGACCCATTCAGCATGGATTCTGGGCAATGCACTATTAAAACCAATGCAATAACTAAAAAACAATTGAGCTAACTTTAAATAAGAGTTACATATAACAAAGTGAATAATGTACAATAAGCAAGGCTGATTATACATACAATGAGCACAAAATCAACCTATCTGGGTGTTTGGGGAAAAAGCCATGTTTATTTAAGATTATTTAAAGATTAGCAGGGTCATGGCAGCCAAAATCTCTAAGGCAATGTTATTCCAGAAGGCATTTTTCACAACAGATAAAGCATGCTAAGTCATAGGAACAGCACAGCAACAATTTTAAAACATGTAGCTCAGCTTGCTGATCAGCATATATAAATAATTCTCCATCAATAGGCTTGATGACTTGCAGAGTTCTTCCATATGAAATTGTATAGTTTGAATTTAGAATCGAAGTTCTATATATGCCCCCCAAAATAATTTGTTCTCATTTCCTCTATTCATTTGTTATCCCAATTATATGACATTTTTTCTTGAAAAATACCTGCCACTTCTCGTATCATTCTGCCGCATATTCTTGATGAAATGAATCTTCTTAAAGTTCTTTGGTCTGGGTGAGCCTGACAAAGTCCGGCATCTAAAAAATAATGATGTTGAAAGAATTAAATTCTTTCTGTATAGCTTAATCTCTCAGAACAAAAACAAGAAGGTAATTATTCAAGTGACCTCTTCCCTATTAAATTTAAGGAATTTATAGCAATAACAAAGTGTAGAAATAAAGAGAAATGTATGTTTAAAAAATAAAACAATGTATTTAAAAATGAAACATAAAACTTCTTGGATTATGGTATAGCTGGCTTTAGGAAAGTTGAACGCAACATTTTTTTCTCTCACAAAAGTTTTCTGATTATACATCTTAAAGTGTGTGTTATAATTTCCGTGTTTCCAAATATTTGGGAGTGAGTGAAATTCTGTATATAACTAGATGCATCAGATCTTCCAAATATTGTTTCTGCCTCCCTTTTTTATTTTCCGTTTGCCAACAAGATCTCAGAAACGGAATAGATTTGACACTTAAGGAGGTATGAGGATATAAAGAATACTAATTATAATATTCATTTTAAACACCAAGACAACTGCAAAAATTGGTTTCTTTTAAAGAAAATGTTACATAATATGTTGTTTACTAATGAATAACCAGCCCACCCATCCAAAGCTGTTCTTGGTATTTATATACATTGGCTTAGTAAAAACAATATTCTTGGAAGTAGGATTGTTAATTTCTGGATGGATTAGTTTATTTTTGTAGGACAAAAAGGAAATGTCTTTTATAGAAAATAAATATTCCTATCTTAAGAACAGGAAATTACAGACCTAAAATAATTAGAGACAAGTGTTTACAAGATCCAATGGACAACTAAAATTAGTTATTTTCCTGTCAACATTCAGAATGGCAATACTTTAACTCAAAATGCTCTGGGTTTTCTGTGGTGAAGAACTGAGGAAGGGAGAATAGCAGGTATAGGAAAAGTTATGACTTATGGGACTCTGCTCAGAGTAACATTTTGTAAGATAAGTGTCTATATAAATTTGATAAATAGTTGAAATGTATGCAATACTTAATTTTTTATATTTTATAAAATATATTTTTCTGAATATGTTTTATTTAAACAATAACAAACATTCATGTTGATTTTTACACATTTTTATTTTTATACAAATGGAGCTACAAACTGCTGAACTGTAAGAAACTAAGTTAGCATCTCTTATTTTGTCTATTTAGAGAAACTGAAAACTATTTCTGCTATTTTTCTGTTTTCAGAAAAGTTTAAGAGAAATACTACTGCATTTTAATATGTAATTTAGCACTGTTATGGATATTAGTCCTGTATTCATGTATTTGAACCACAACCAATCACAAGATACATATAAAAACTACATATAAACTGCATATCCCTTCTGGAGACTTTATACTGCTAATTATGCTTATTTCCATAATTCTAATTTGCTTTCCTTGTAACATCTTCCTATTGCGCTTGGCAATTGCAATGGGTTCCAATTAAAAGATACCTCACTGTGAACAAAACCCCACTGGAAAGATTGCCTTAAATAAATGATATGAAATATTAAACACTATTTCTTTTGGCAATTATACACTTATTTGAATAATTATACTGATAATTTTATTCTTACGAATGTGCAGTTACATGCTATATAAAATAATATTTTACTATTAAGAAAGTGGTACATTTTGTCATTTGTGTTTTTTCTTTAGGATACAGAAAAAGCAGACCTTTTCAGTTCAAACAATAATGAATTGATAAACTTAAGCCCATAAAAATGATATGGGGAGTTACGTAGTAACAGTTTTGTATTTTTCAAAAATACATGGAACTAAGAGAAGCGGTCATTTCAAATTCTTAAACTGGTGATTCTTTTTGCCTTTAATTTGAAACAATGAAAGCAAGAGTTAACTATGCCAGGTTGCATAATTAAAGCCTCCCCCAAAGGAATACTAAAAAAAAATAGAAGAGGCATTAAACTCAAGGATTTCCCCAATTTTTCTTCACTTCAGAGAAACCACCCCCCAATCTGGCTCCTGATAGGACAGATGTGCTACCCAACTAATGCATTAGCACTTGTCTGTTTTTTTAAATTACTTCAGCCAGTAATCAGCAGTTTAGACCTTGGTTTTGGACCATCAAATAAAACTTCTGCTGCGTACTGAATCACAAGCTTTAACCCCAAGATAGATTTCTTTTTAAATAATAAGATACAGAGCAATCAAGCCTTTCTTTTAATGTGCTCAGTTTATTTTACCAATCCATATTCTCTACCACAGATGGCAGCTTATGTCAAAAAGAGCTTTTTAGTTAAAGGATCTTCAGACAATGAAATCAATTCTTGATTATGATGTACATCTAGATTCTAGAACATTAAGATTTTGGGTCATCTTCACATGTTTCTGTGTGCATACTTTGCTTGTTTTTCTTTTCCCTCCCCAACAAAAGTAAAATGACTGTGCATGCATAGCCATACAGAGACAGCCAGGAACAGCAATATTCCCAAGAACTCCTTTCTGCATAAAGCAGAACTCTATTAGCTCCTGCCATAGTTTACCAGCGTTTGGCTCAACTGCTGCACAAATAAAGAGATTCGTGATATAGATCACAAATTCTATATGTACACATACATTGGAAAAAGATTAGAAGTATTTCTCTTCTTCGCTAATAAAATTTGATTGTATAAATTATCTTAGTTTCTGGGTGGGTTAATATTTTTTGGTTTTTGCTTTCAAGTGATATGAACAAGTCATTTAAAATAGTTTTAAAATTATTGGCCAGGGAAAAATCCAAATTGCACTTCAAGAACTGTTTTCTATATTTCAAGAAATTCTATTTCCCTCAAATTCTTTTTTCCATGAAGCCCTTGAAAAAGATATTCAGTTGCCACGATATCGCCTTATCTACAAAGATAAAAATTATGTAAGCCATGGTATTTCCCGTGATATTCTATGGAAACAACTTGCAGGATAGTAAGAGTATTGACATTTTGAATTTTGGTATTGGAGAAGCTTTTGTCATGGATAGTCCAGAGAGTAAACAAATGGATCATCAAATAAATCAAGCCACAGTTCTGACTTGAGCCCAAATGATCACAATCAGATTATTCTAGTTTAGACACGTTATGCAAAGACCTAGTTCTCTAAAAAAGGTTATAATGCTGGGAAAGGTGGAAAGGAAGAGAATAGGATGACCAACAGCAAGATGGAGAGACTCACTCCCTGTGATGATGGGTGTACTGTTAAAACATCATGTTAGAGATAGATTGTCATAAAGAAAATCTATGTGGTTGCTGACAATAGCCAATATTTTGATGGCACATAATCATTCTTTTTTTTTTTTCATATAAATTTTATTGAATTTACAATTAAAAAAATAACATAACAACATTACATAAGAAACAGAGAGAGAAAAAGAAGAAAGAAAGAAGAGAAAGAGAGAGGGAAAAAAAAAAAAAACGCTCGGTCTTACGACCGAAAAAGAAGAAAAAGAAGTATAAAAGAAAGAAAAAAAAAACAAAGAGACGGAAGAAAAAAGAAAATACGTTAAAACCAGACAGATATTCTTTTTGACAGTCTACAAGATCCAATTCTCCTACCTTACTTTAAATATACACATCTTATCGCTATTTATGGTTATTTATGCTTATTTATGCTCATTGAACAGTTTATCTCTGATATAACCAATTATACCACGTATTCCAATTATTATCAAATGCTGAAGACTCTTTATTTTTAAGAGCTATGGTTAAATTGTCCATTTCTGCGCAGTCACATATTTTCTGAATGACCAATTGATCTGTAGGTAAACGGGATGATTTCCAGCACTGGGCAAATGCTAATCTGGCCGCAGTTAGAATATGAATTATTATATATTTCGTCTTTTTAAGAAAATGTTTATCAGAGATCCCTAGTAGGAAGAACTCTGGTTTGTATTCAATTTGTTCTTTAGTTATCTCCTCCAGCCATTTTCTAATTTTTTGCCAGTATTTCTGGGCTTCTTTACAGGTCCACCACATATGAAAGTAGGTTCCCTCTATGTTTTTACATTTCCAACATTTTGGACTAGAGTTTGGGTTCATTTTCGCTAACCTCGAAGGGGGTAAGTGCCATCTATATAACATTTTATACATATTTTCTTTGTACGCCGCAGATTTCGTGATCTTAATGATTCTATTCCAGATCTTTTCCCATTCTGTTAATGTAATGCTTCTTCCAATATTCCTACTCCACATTATCATGTTCCCTTTCACTATCTCTTGCTCTAATTCTACCTCCAATAAATATTTATAAAATTTGGAGATATTATTTGTATTTGATCCTAATAAGATTTTATCTAAGTGTTGTAATTTGCTATAGATTCCAAATTCTTTGATATCTTGTTTGTATCTACTATGGATTTGTATATATAACCACTGATCAATTTTAAATCCCTGTTCCTGTAATTCCTGTCGAGTTCTTAATTTTCCTAAAGGATCTAATAAATCTTTATATTTAGTCGTTTTTGTTATATCCAAATTGTTGGGATGAACCATTGCCTCCATTGTTGAAAGCCAAATCGGAATTTTTAAATAATGTTTTTTACATATTTTTTTCCAATTAGTTAATAGTGAATCTCTAATAAGATGTCTATGAAAGTACGCCTGTTTAGTTTTCCCCACATCCCATAGAAATGCGTGGATGGCACATAATCATTCAATCCACCCATCAATCACACCATACTTTTGGTAAACAACAATGAAAGTTTGGAAAATATCTTTAGAGGCCCTGGCATGTCTATATCTGCAAAGATTAATATTATGCAAGTAGTAAGTTTCTCTTTGATATTCTGTGGAAGTGAAAATTGAACTTTGAAGAAGCAAGATAGGAAGAGCATTGATGCTTTTGAACTTTGATATTGGAGAAAACTCTGGAGACTATTACGGACAGCCAACAAAACAAACAAATGGACATAGAACATAGAATGGATCATAAAATCACCCCAGAATTTACCACTCAAGGCGCTCAAATGATCAGGTTTAAACTCTTACAGTTTATAATAAGCTTATTGCATAAACAGTAACTTAGTCTGGGAGAAAAAAAATACTCAGAAAGAAGCGTTCAAAGTAATTCAAAGAAACTGTGCCTTAATTAACTCCCTATGAATGAAGACTTGAAATTCCTTTTATAGGTTTCAAAATCCTGTCTTTACTCCAGACTGTGTTAAATATACCTCACTGAAAACAGTACAATGCTCCCATGATGCTGCTCAGTTACAAAGCATTTGACATACTATATTAAATAAACAAAAACTGACAGGAGTGTACCAGATAGGAACAATCTTCTTCTGTGAGGGCTTTGTAGAGCTAGTTTCCTTGTGTTTTTTTATTCTTCTGAAGTTAGCATAAGAAAGAGATGAGGCAAAGCAGCACTTTTATCTTGCTATACAAATTATAGGTGCTTTAAAAGAAAATAGCCTGAAAACTGCTTTTGAAACATAAAACATGACTAAATGAGCAAAAAAGATCTGTTAAGAAGTACTGCTTAGTACTTCACATGTTCTTGGTTTATATTTTGATAATTAGAACAAAGTGTGATTTAGTAAAGCTGGCTTCAAATTGAAGATGGAATAAGGAGAGAATATATAAGTATTTAATTACAAAGTCCTTGAAACATTTTTTTTAATAAATAGGATAGACTTTTTCCCCTTAAACCCTTCAAAGAACCTGGAAAGCATATTACAAAAATGTGGATTTATAAAAACTTGAAAAGGGAAGCCAAAACATCTTAATTAGAGGGTTAATTAGAAGGAAAACCTAATTGACATGGTATCTGCAAATGTTAGGTTCTCTCTTACAAGGTTTTAGGGGATATTTTTTGAAAGGTATTCCTTAATCCTATGTAAACCACTGTAGTTGCAATATACAAATTGGGCAACTATATCTTTAATTTACTTAATTAATTAAACATAGAAGCCACCTGACTCTGGATCATTTGCGACGTCTTACATTTAAAAATTAGAAAGTAACAAAAAACTGAACCCAAAAAAAGAATCACGTACACCCAGAAAACATACATGCAGTAATGAAAAAAATAAACAACCAGGGCTCAACATACACCTTAGCCCCAAGTTTGAGAAACTAACCAAGTCTTCAAGGACTTCTGGATTACCTTCAGGGTGGGGGCCATATGGATTAATTGAATAAATCAATAAATAAATATTTTGGAGCATTTAAAAAGCATTTGACAAAGTGTCCACTAAAAACTTCTAAGCTGATTTAGCTGCCATGTGATAAAAAACAAAATCATCTAAGGATTCTTAGATAAAGAACAGCAAAGAGGAAAAATAAATGATTTATTTTTACCCTGGAGGGAAGTAAAGCATAGGGTTTCAACTGTAATAGAACTATACTGTTGTTAATAAATTATCTACAATTAGGAACAAGCAATGAGTTAGTTAAGTCTACTGATGAAATATGATGATTAAAACCAAAAGAAACAGCAAAGTATTCTGAAACTTTTGTTTTCCAATCTAAAACTGAGATATATAATGGGGCTAAATACCTTCAGGCCACCAATTTCTAAATATGGTTAACCCATGCATTTGCAAGGCTAAAGGGCAAATAATATCCCAGCAAAGTAGATAAAATTTATTGCAGCAAGCAATTGTCCTAAAATCAGCTTCTTCAAACAGTAGCGTTTCTTGCTTTAACATGGGTGGTCAATTTGTGATTCTGTGGCTGTATGAGCACAAAATCCCTTTTTTCCAGAGATCTAGGAGTATCTTGTGATTATGAGATTGAAAATACATGAGTCAGTCCAGTTCCCACTAGCAAGAGGTGGGAAATACTAGTAAGTCATAAATATTTTGCACCATTCTTATGTAATAAAAGCTAGTTTAATTTTCTCTTAATCTTCTCCAAAGAAGAAGATTTACATTTTCCCCTCACTTTCCCTGAAATGAAGTTCGTGATGATAGAAAGCTGGTTTACCTCCTCTCCAAAACATACACCCCAACAAGATTTATCTACTCTTTGGTACTGGTTCTGAGCACATCTCGTTTATATTTGCGATTTATTTATTTTTTGCTAATAGTCAGAACAAGATTAACTGCTTGTTCTGACTATTAGCTATTAACTATTTAGCTTATCTAAGGTTCCTTTGAAGAAAAAGAATATGAACTACATCTCTAAAGTTCATGACTAATGATAGTTAGTGCCCTCATTCCTTTTATCATACAATTAAGAACCCAGATATGCCCGCCTTGAGCTTTTCCATTTAATCATCTTGCATGAGAATACAAAAATATGCCTAGTAGACCAGAATGGATTTTGTAAAACATCATACATTGAAGGATTTTGTTCTCACACTCGAGTAAGTTACTGCACAGATCACTGTTAGCTTCAGTGAATACAAACTGCCTCTGAATTCCTATTACTTAATATGTGAATGACAGAACAACATATACAATATAAATCAGAAAAAAACTCACCTCCTTAAGGGAGCGTTTTCCTCAATGTCTTCCAAAGTCTCCAATGAAGATCTCTGGGAAATTAGCCGACGTCTCTCAAGAGAAAAAGAAAGAAAGAAATTAAATTTTTGAAACTTTGGCAAATTGAGAGAGTTTGGAATGGCAACAGCTCAGGATAAAGTGGCAGACATGCTGTTAAAGATGTAAAGTACTAATAAAACAATATTTTATTCAAACTGGTACTCCTAATTCTTCTATTTTAAAAGAGTTATATTTCAACCTATTTTAATATAAAATTATAGTATGTTTTTAAATCTAAGAGGACATTATTTAGAGATAAACCATTCTAGAATGGTCCTACAATCAGATATATCCAAATTATACAGGAATGTTACAGATCTTATAAAAATGTAAGCAGACTGGCTGATAGAAAAAAATAGCATAGTGTTCCTTACTAATGCTCAGGAATCAATAAATTATTTTTAAAAAGTATGCACTAACAGAGATCCTGTTACTTTTGTTTGCCTATGGTCCCAGTAAAATAAGAGTGAACTTTAGTGAATTAGCCATTGCTAATCCTGCTCTTCTTTAAGTCTTATTAAATTTTACATTTAAAAAAAAAATGTTTTAATTTAAACTGTACCTAATCCCAGTTTCTTCCTTGCAATTTCTAACGATTCTAAATTTGAAAAGCAACAAAGACATAACATGCAGCTTATTCCCAAGTACCAAGTACAAAATATGCCAGTCTCAGCTATGTCATAAACTGCTGATGATGTTATGCCAACAGTCAGATTTTTTTGCATAAATTATTCAAGTTTTTATATGGCTGCTATTTCCAATTTGCTCTTTATAGAAGTATTTTGGAGAGACATCCAGAACTGGAAATTAACTGCTCTTCTTTTAATAAAATTTTAGTGAAAAGTGAGGATGTTATTGAAAGGCAATCTAGGATACCCTGGTTCTTGAAAATGATTAAAATGTAGGAAATTTACCCAATATTTTACATAATACAATATTCCTGTACAAAATATTTTCTCTCATTCATACAACTTTGGCTTAATCTTTGCTCAAAGTTGTTTGCTAAGTTTTCTATTTATTCTCTCACACATGCTTTCTTTCCATGATATACAATTCTTATCTCATTCAGCAATCAACTTTCAACTCCCTACTCAAGCAAAACATCCCATAATCCAAGCCTAGCCACTAATTATCTCAAAATCACAAATACAAAGCTAACTTTCTCCCTCCCTTTCATACATTTCTTAAATATTTCCAGAAGATAAAAATTTGGTTTGTACCCATCCTGCCTAAGCTTGATATTTCTGCTTATTTTAACTTCTTGTACCCTTTTGATCAGAATTCTTCCAAACATCACTTCTGTGTCATTTTAACATTCTTTCTTATTATTTTCCTTGTATATAGGGGAACAATAATGGCACCACACAAACTGCCAGGTAGAACTTCAGTCTTCACAAACAATAACCAAGCTGCACAATTCCATTAGTTCAATTTTATGGCATCAAATGGGTGTCAATTCCTAGCAATCACATATATCTTTCTCCAAGGAGATCTGTCACCAACCTGCTCCTCCAAGTCTTCCAATTAATATTCTGTAATTAAGAATATACTCTGCTGCTAGTCATCCTCTTCTTCTCTTTCCTTCTACCTTTCCCAACATTACAGATTTTCAGTAAAGCTTGATCTTTGTAATGAGTCCAAAAATATGCTAATTTGAGCATAGTTATCTGTACCAGTGAGAGCAAATAAAACTGTGGATTAGTTCAATTTATTTATTTAGAAATTTTATATTGCCTCCTATTTGCACATGGCGACTCAAGGCAACTTAAAGAAATAGAAAACATCATGCATAAAAAATAAAACTAATAAAAGAAAATGATCAAATAATAAATTAATAAAATGTTTCATTTGTTTGTTTTCTTGAGTATCCATGGTAACCTCAGGAGCCTTCTCCTAAATCAAAGTCCTATAGCATCATTACACTTTCTATCTTGTTTCTTTCATATCCAACTTTGGTTTCCATAAAATGTTACAGAAGAAACAAGAAATCATTACCTGCACAATTCTGAGACTGAATGCTTTTTTCAATCTATGGCCACTTTGTTGTTCTCCAGATTTGCTGGCATAGTTTCGATATACTTCTTTACTAATTCTTCTGTTCCATATGCTGTATATTTGTAGATATTATATCAATTCCTGCAGCCACTTGGCTTAGCAATGACCAAAGAGGTGATCTAAATTCATGTTCTATTACTAGAGTTTCTTGTGATGATGGAACATCTTCTAAAATATCTTGCATACTAACGTTCCTACTGTATAGAGTTTGGGTATACTCCTTCCATGTTTGATTTTTTAATTAGTTACTATCTGTCCATTAGTATCCTTTAGCATACCAATTTAAGGTTGGAGCCGCCTTTAGAATTGAGATCATGCTTCATTTCTCTTTCCTGTGTCATACAATTCAACCATATTTTTGTCCTTACTCTTTCCAACATTGGCATTTCAGTATCCAATCACAAGCAGCAGAACTTGCTTGCAGGTTCTGATGATTTCAGATTGAATATGACTATAAAACCCATCAACTCCCTCTTCTGCTTCACTGGTTGAGTATAAACTTGGATAACCATCCTATTAACTGGTTGTGTGTGAAATGTATCTAATATTCAATTATTGCTTGTACTGTCAATAAATCCATATTACAATATTTCTCAAGCTATATACCATTTACATTTTGAATCTTATTATTTCTCAATATGCTCAGTGTGCATGGCTCTCTTTCCAACAATATTTCTCACACATTAATATATATAGTAATTCTTTCAATTCAAGTTTTTAATGTATTATTTTCATTCACACAATAATCTAAAAAAATTCTTCCAGCATTCTTAAATGTTTTTTGTTTTCTTGTTTCATTTTTTGAAACAATGCTTCCTCTCAATATTTATTATACAATAGCTTCCTTACAATTCTTTCTTTTAAATTCTTATATCTTTTTATTTTCTTTATTCTCTTTTATTTCATTAATCTACCCGGCAGTCTTCTTTGGCATTTGGTAAGATAATTTTTTACTTCTGTTCTTAGTAATTACCACACCTATTTCCTTATAGCCATTTTTCATTCCTCTATGCATTAATACGTTTTCCAATATTGTTTCTATATAGGGCTTGTACTTTAGATTTCTGCAACTCTTCTACTTACATTCTCCTTTCACTTTTTTCTAATATATCAATTTTTCCCAATATTCACTACTTCCTCCCCCAAATTGATGTAAATAAGTAAATAAATCAACATGTAATGTAAGATTCAATTGCATCCAACATTACAGAATTATAGAATTGTGAAATTTATCTAAGTCAGGGGTATCAAACACAAACTACAATGTGGTTGGATCCGTCTATGGAGCTGTCCTGGAAAATGTAAGGGGTTGCCCCACATCACTTCGGCCTGGTCTACCCAATGTGAAGGGGAAATACGTTAGCAATTTGGGGAGTGTCATCAAGCTGGTCACGCCCACCCAGTTGGCTACACCCAGTGAGTGTTGTCAAGCTGGCCAAGCCCACTCAGTTTGTCACACTCATCCAGTCGACCACACCGGCCCGGGCCCCCAAAGTCAACCACAGCCCTGATGAAATTGAGTTTGACACCCCTGATCTAGGTCAATCTTCTGCAATGTGCAGGGAAAACAATTAAACTATCTTTGAGAGGCGGCTGTCTTAATAGAGATCTGTAGAACTCATCACTCCGTAATTGGCTGATTCCACTGTAGTACTGATTTTATTATTGGAAAGTTTTCCCTTGCGTTTAAACAAGATGTAGATAGCTCTAACCTGTACATGTTATTTTGGTAGTGGTTTGCTCTCCAAGTTTGTTTTCATTAATTCCCAAATGTTTTATTACCAGATTAGGTAACAGAATTCTCACTGATGATGTTACCTAGTCTAATAACGAAACATTTGGGAACTAAATGGAAACAAGCTCGGAGAGCAAACCACTGCCAAAATCTAAAGCCTGAACTACAAGTATTTTTACTGTGCATATTATGATTTTCTTTAGCAATGCAAAATGGTTGCCATTTGATACACTTTCATGTACTTGAACATCGATATCATGCCTCCTTTCAGTCTTCTTTTCACCAGCCTGAACACCCCAAATTCCTGCAACCTATTGACACAGATCATTAAGTCTGTATATTGTCTTTGTTGCCATCCTTTGAGCCTACATAAGTTAAAGCTATAAATTCTGACTTTCTCTGAGTGTGGGTTATACAACCAGTTGACAACTCACCACTAGTCCACAAGTGATAGCTTTCATGTAATTAATTTCAGATGTAACAATTTGCCTTTTATATTGCATTGGAATCTAGATCATCTGACCTGTGTTCCCCTTACTACATATTCCATGCTACAGCCTTAAGCAGAAGAATGAAATAAAGAATTACTTGTTTTCTGTAATACATGAAAAGGCAAGAGATTGTTAAAATGTGTTACAAAAACATAATCTGAATAATTTTTACAAGATAGACATGAAAGTACTGCAGCAAAGAATGGACAAAAACTTCACTATTTACAAGGACATGCCTATAAAGAACGGTCTCTTTCATCTGGACATTTGACATATCATGACAGAGATCATGACCATTCAGTTCTGTAGAACCCAATGAGACCTCAATTATTTGAAAGAAGTATATTTCCTTTGGTAAAATAAATTATTTAATATTTTACTTGCAATTTTAACAGTATTAAAAATTGTGCTATACATACTTGTCCTTAAAAAACAAACACAACTGAACACTGGCAACTGAATAGTGTCAGATTACTTATTTTATCTGGGCACCTATATAAATATCTGTTTCACTTAATGATTTGTAGAGTGCTTAATCAAACAAATCAAACATCTTTAGATGATGCTAACAGTAACTTCAAACTCCTAATTAAACTATGCCTATTTTAGGGAAGTGTTGATTGTTCAGCAATTATTTAAAAACTATACAAAGGTCAAACTGAAGCAGCAGAGTGGAACTGCTTTTATTTTTTCTGTTTTTTTTGTTTTTGCCAATACCCGGCCAAGTTCCT